GTAGGGAAACAAAAGGCAGTGAGATTTGGAACACAGAAAGGAATCACACCAATGACTAGTAATGCCAGCCCTGCCTCTCTTTTAGGGCTCTAGCAAAGCGAGCTACTATACCTGCCTCTTTGGATCGATCTTCATGACAGCTGGCTGTGCAGCTCTCAACCCCAGCAGACAGACTTAGCACACCAACGCCTGGTCTACACTATGTGTCCCCGTTACGCTAAGATATGCGAATGGTGATGCTGAAGTCAACATACTAGACCTACTTACCCTGGTATCTCGTGCAGTAAAGTTGGCAGCTGATGCTCTCCCATCGACTCCACCTACTTCTCTCGTCCTAGTGGAGTATCCAAGTTGATGGGAGAGCGCTTTATCGCATCTAAGCGGACTCAATAAACTGACCACTGATTAAATTGATCACTGTGGCATCAATCTACCGTGTAGCGGAGACAAACCCTCAGGCTACGTCTATACTGTGCTGTTTTGTGCAAATATGAAAATGAGGCGAGGCAAAGCAAGGAATATTGCTGTGCCTCATTTGCATAATGAACAAGCGGCCGCTTTGAGCAAGAGGCTTTTGCTCAAAAAGGAGCCAGCCACACGGCTCCTTTTTGCTCTTTTTTCCCCCAGGAAGAACAGCTCTTGCGCAAGAGGGGGTTTTTGCGCAAAAGACTCTTACTCAAAAAGCGGCTGCTTATTAATTATGCAAATGAGGCACAGTAATATTCCACGCTTTGCCTTATTTGCATATTTCTTGCACAAAACAGCACAATATAGATGTAGCCTTACTCAAGCAGAGTAAGTACACAAAAAATAGCCTTGTGGTTGTTACAGTGAATCTCCATGCAATCTCCTGGATCTGAGCTTTGGTAAGCAGCCTGAGCCTCCATCAGTGCCATGACAGCCACACTATTTTTAGGATCCTTGCTGGAGCAGAGCCAATGCATATGGGAATCACACTTTCCGTCAGTCTCTCACTATAATCAGTACAGTATGTTGATCGTAATAAGTGAAACTTGTCAGTGTGAGATAGAGATTAGGCACTTAAGAAAAGAGAAGTCTGCTTGCCTCCTAGATACTCCAAGAAGCCACTAACATTATCTCTCCAGGGACTTGCTTAGACAGCACAACAAATATACACAGTCACACATCAAAGAATCTGTCTTAAAAGTTTACAGATTAACAGGATACAGCTAGAAAACAGGAACAATAGAGGGCACATTGCCAATGCAGAAAGACATTGTTGAAGTGGCTTGGATACATGTGGAGCCTGTCCCAAGTGACGGGGGCAGCATGGTAGAAAGCACAAAAATCCAGAGCAAAGAGCGAAGAGGGACAGTTAGTAGGAGATGTGTAGGAGAATTAAATGATAGTATAGATGTAAGGATAGAGCTGTATCTTATAGATGAGTTTGCTGTTCCACTCTGCTACACACAGTAAAGCCAATTACGTTACATGGGACTAAAACAGCTGTGTCAGTGGGGAACTGGATCTGAGAAGCGTGAACTTTGTGCTGAAGGACAGTAGAAGCTAATGGAGGATCTAAGAGGAGAAGTGATGTGGTGACTGGAGCAGGGAAAGAAAATATGATCTTCGTAGTTGTGTAATTGTAACCTGGAACAGGATGTGGGAAAGATTTGCACTGCAAAGATATAGCAGCAAGAATAGAAAGATTGAGTTTAGAGACAATAAGCAGAAGAACAAACAATTCATACTTAGAGGCCTCTATATGCAAAGTGAAGGAGAAAGAAACCAAAAACTAAGACTCTAACAAGGGCTATGAAAGTGTAACTGTGTAGCCTGGGCTTATCCGTTAACCTTCACAGTTACATGCAGGCTCCCATGCAACTGCTGAAATGTTCAGTGGTTACACATTTAAACAAACAAATGCATTTTAACATTCCTACTCTTTAACAGTACCCACAAGGGCTGAGCAAGACGCTGATTACTCCAGCTCTCTTTAGAACAAGAGGTCCCTAAGGCCCTTATATATGGGTGCAGAGAAAGATGGAAGCTGTTAATTGTCTCTCAGGGGACAAACCACTGACCCATGCTTCCTGAGTGAAAGAGACATCATCATCTTTAGGGAAGGAGGCTGGGAAAGCAGAGAAAAGAGATCAGCTACCTTTGTGCCCTGCTACATGCTGTTCATTTAGAAACCACTCACAACCTGATCAAGCATTATGACAGACTAAAAGTCAATAGCTTATGCATTGCAGAGTCCATACTCACACAAAACTCTGTGGTGCTGAGAGAGTTAGGTAAATGTGCTTGCTCTGCAAGTACTCTGCACGTACTCTGCACCTGCAGTTACCTGAATTGCATGAACAAATGCAGGATTTTGCCCATATAAATGGCAAAACAGGTGTTTTGCACCATTCTCTCATTGCAGAAATGTCAACAAACTCAATGTTGCCATTCTGATTTGGTAGCATTTTACACACAACGTGGAGGGCAAAGGTGAATCAGGCCCTCTGTTTGAAAACAAATAAAATTAAACTGCATTTTTAAACTTTCCAAAAGTGTGTTCGTGTGTTCTCTCCTTATTCCCTTATTTTAAAGGGTCACTGCATTACCGCCTATGATGAAGTGCCACCAAAAAATACATAGGCTCGATTAATAAATCTGCAGTGATCTTTTCCAATGTTTCAAAACAATTCTGTAATCACATAGATATATTTAGTATCTAAGTACACACAGCAGTACCATTTACCTCAAGTGAAGTTATGCACTTTTCAAATTGAGTTACATGGATGATATCAGAATTAAAATATCTTTAAAAAAAGCAGCCAAATTTGAAAGCTCTATGACTGACAATCATAAATGTCAGAAATGGAAAACCATGGACCTTTGGTCTGACCCAGTACTGCCGTTCTTATGTTCTTATAGACTACATACAGTCCTCCTTCCTTCTCTGCTAGTAATTTTTTTAGCAGGCTGGCCAGCAACCTGGCTTAATCCTAGCTTGCAACGGGTCCAGGACCTCTCTGCTGTAGCTCTGCATTTAAAGTGTATTAGGAGCTAGGCTAGCAGGCAGCCTGGCTCAATTCAGGCTCATGCCAGGTCCGGGAGCACAGACCCACGCCCAACCCAGACAGGGGCTGCTGCCACCCTGCACTACTACCACCTCTGTATCAGAAGCAGCAGCAGCATGGGGAGACAGGCAGCTGGTCTGCAAGAGGAGCTGGTTTTTAAATTGGCTCCGCTCGCAGGCCAGCTTCTGCCTGGCATCCCTGCACTGCTGCCCACGATACTGCTGGCCCCGCCCACGGGGACTATAGAGTAGTTGACTAACCAATAAGAATGTGTGAGGTAACGTGACTATTCAATTAACTGATATTTAACATCCCTAAAACCAACTTGAAAAGTGACAGATTTGATGATTTAATAAATGTACCTTAGCTTGATAGAGAAGCCTAAATCCTATTTTCAAAAGTGATTTTATACTGACACCTTATAAATCCCTATCTAAGGAGTTAGGTGGATTTGGGCATATAACTCACTCTCAGGCATCTTTTGAAAAAAAAAATCTCAGCCTAAATAAAGCAGGTGTCCAAGCCACTTGGGCACCTTAGGCACTTATAAATCTCAATGTAAGTCTCTTTCAAGAATAAACTTAAGCAACAACAAATATAGCACTTTAAAGACTAACAAAACATGTAGCTGGAATCATGAGCTTTCGTGGGTCATCTGAAAAAGTGGGCTGTGCCCATGAAAGCTCATGATTCCAGCTACATGTTTTTTTAGTCTTTAAAGTGCTACCAGACTATTTGTTGTTGCTTAAGTTTATCCTGTACAGACTAACTTGGCTATCCCTCAGAATCTTTCAAGAATGTTATTCCTTGCCTGTCTGCATGTCCAGTGCTTTGTTGAGTTTTAAGTGACTCAAGTCATGGGGCTTCCCCCACTTTCTCTGGGAAAATATTCCCCAGTAATGTCAGTAACTGATATGATAAAATTGCTCCTGAAGTCTGCTCAAAATTCTCTCTACATAACAGCCCACTATTGATACCTTTGAAAGTAGATTCCTTCTTCTTGGGATATTGTATCTATGAATACTTGAAAGATGGCTTCCCATCCCATTCCACCATTTCAGCCTCTTTTCGATATCACGTTACTTTTGATTAATTAAGAATGTTGCCACTGCAAAATGACCAGGTTTCAATCTCAGGTAATCTATTCCCCCCAGCGTATGTTTTAAATTATACCTTTTTTTTTTATTCCCCAGACTGTGCACATTTGGATCCCAATCCTGCAGACATGACGCAGGTACCAGCCCCAATGAAGTCAAGGAAACATTGGCTTTCACAAGGACAGCAGAATCAGGCCAACTAGAAGGCTACATACTTGGCTGTGCCCAGCAAGGAAGCAAAAGGTAACTGTTGTACAATGCAACTTTTCTGACTGGCAAGCCTCTAATTCAATGTGGTCTCTTGGGACCAGACATTCATAGGTGCTAAGCACCTGCAGCTCCCACTGATCAAATTAAGTGATGACTCTTGAGCACCTCAGAAAATCAAGTTGAAAACATTCCCAGTTCATGAAGAAGTTACCGAGCAGCACATCAGAGATTGTTCCTTTAGCAAAGTCACTTTCAAAAACATAAAATAAAATTCTACTTTCCCCACTATTCCTGCCCCATAATTTACACCGCATAGCTCAGCTTTCTGATTTGTAACAACAACAAAAGGAGTAACAGCCCTAGAGGAAATCAAGCTCTCACGACTAGGTTTCTTCGCCAAAGGATTAATGCCCACAAAACAGATATCAGACAAGATCACAAAGAGAAAACAGTTTCTTGCCACTTTAACCAGAAAGGACACTCTCTCAATGACTTGACCACCTGCATTCTGCTACAAAGACCTTTTACATCTGCACTTGAAAGGGAATCCTCTGAACTGTCATTCATGTTAAAATTCGACACTTGCCAACAAGGACTTAAACATTTGAACTATCTCACCCATTACCAAGACAGTTTCCCCAATTATCACCTCTAATACCATTAACTCACAAACATCCCACTCTCCCTACCTCTAATATCATCAATTCACAGACACTTACCTTCCTTCCTTCCCCCCCCCCCATCCCCCTCCTGTTCTGCAATGTGATTTGTCCTTTTCATATTTAATTGTATCCTTTGGTATATATGGTTGTGACTATTTTCTTCCACTATTTGATCTGAGGAAGTGGGTCTGGCCCACGAAAGCTCATCATCTAATAAACCACCGGGCATAGCTGATTGGGGAGGAAACGTGCTGGCAGCATCAGCCTCCAACGTGCCAGCAAAGCCCCGCGAGTGCATGAGCGATTCACTCCCCTGGGTGCACCCATGCGCGCACTCCCTAGCCGGCTGCTTCCACTAACTCTTCGCCCACATCAAACCAGCGTTACCTGGCAGTGCCGAGCCTCCAGGCGCCGCCGGGACCAGCAATGCAGCAGCAGCAGCAGCTCCTACCTCGCTGCAGCCCGCAGGCGAACAGTTCGTAACAACAGGTTCAAACTGGCTGCTCGGGAGGCAGCGAAAGGCGCAAGCCCGCCCAGCCGCCGGGGGAGGGGGGTGCCGAGCCGCCACTCACTAAATAGCCGGGCCGCTCCC